TAAATATTACACCAAATAGAAGCAGAAAATCGTGCTATAAGCATTTTCATGAGATCGGGTTAGCCTACAACAATTAATTTGTAGGCTATTTTACAAATGGCAATACAACGAATTCATGACAATGTTTTACATTCAAGCTACCTGTAAAATGTATAGTGAAAAGTACTTTAAAAGCATCTGGAATGCAATAAAGTAATTTTTTAAAGCATTTGCTGCATGGATTAAAAAATAGGCTAATAAATAATTCACATATCAGACAAAATTGCATTGCAGCAAATCCTTTAAATTTTAAGGTATTCAGAACAGAGCAACATAAAAATCAGAAAATATAAGCAGCTATACAATTATAGGACAAAGTTTTACATATATGCCATTATAATTTGTGTTTTATTTTTTAATTGTACATAATTAGCAAATAAAACGCAAATTATAATCGGGCCTGCTTTAGGCTTTTTATTATTTTTATATTTTAGACATCCATCAATTATGGTGGAAAAAAATTACTCCTCATTGGACGTGCCTTTAGAGAGAAATGCATCTTTAGGGATTACATAATGAAATAGTTTCTATTTTTGATCTGAATGATTTCATTTTAAAGTAGTAATTTAAAGCTTTCTATATATTTTTATCATGCCTGTGAGACTATTAGCTGAGTTGAAGTTCATCATCGTGAAGTGCTCCTGCTCAAAACCAAGACGGCAGAAAGCGTTTGTTTTCTTTATTTTATAAAAGCACAACGTTTAGTTGATATTGTGAGTGCACACAAATAAAAGTAGACCCTTTACAGTTTAGAAAGATGTATTACTCTTACCTTTATGAGCAAAAAATGACTGTGTATTTTAAGTTGATTCCACTGTTAGAAAAAACTGGCCCTCCCACAATTGTTGATTGACACTGGTGTCTTACCTTAGCCCGCCCTGAGTGAGCTGTCATCAGTCCGCCATTGTTTCACCGCTGGAGCAGATGTAGACAAAAATGACTCCTAAGCCAATGAGGTGTTTTGTTGTTGGATGTAATAATGAATATAGCAGTCATCATTTACTCCCGACATCTGAGCCGCTGAAGACACAGTGGATTACATTTGTTTTTGAAGGGAATGCATCCTCCGTATCTGCCTAAATGCATTTATGTTCGCGCAAATCATTAGTGAGCCAGCCTCGTCTACAGAAGAAGTGAGTATAAGGTTCTTTTATGAATCTTTGCAAATTGCCTTTCCTAATAGTATGCTAGTTAGCAAGTTCAGCGGTTAAAGTAAACAGTATCATGACAACGGCTCCTGGAGGAGAGGGGCAGGGATTAATAAAAAAAATATAAATGAACAAATAAAATATAAATATGAAATGGAAAATTGTAATTGAAATAAAATAAGTTGAAGCTGAAGTACTCAAATAAATTACTAAAACTGAAATTACAGTAAATTAAAAAAGAAAACAAAATATAAATATATTTAAAATTATAATATTATTATTATAGTACAGTATTGTAAGAATATGATATCTAAAATATATTAAAATATAAAATAAAAATAATGCTAAGTTTTATTAGAATATGATATAATATTGTTAATATACTAATATTGATGTTTAAAATATATAATTGTCATAAATTGCATAATTGTACATACGTATTAATATTTAATTGTAGTATTTATTGTACTGAATTTCATTTGTTGATATTAATAAATACAATTTCAGTATGGACCAGATTATTCATTACTGTCTTATTATAGTATTAGAAAGAGGGGTTTTAATCACACTACAATTTTGGAGGAGTAATGAAGTAATGCAAGCAAAGTAAGTCACCGTGCACCAAAAAAAAAATTGAACACTCAATTCTGTGGTGAAATATGGTCGTGGACATTTCACACAGCAACAATACATGCTCAGCTGTGCGGAGCAAAACTGAGTGACATATTTACCTGTCTTTTGGCAGGGTGCAGTTTGATTCTGTACTCCTCTCTCTTCCTTTTCATCCTGTGAAAACCAGTTTAGAAACTGAGTGACGGTTTACTCTATATGACAGATATTAAAGGCCGCTTAATCATTTTATTAAGGAGCAGGAAAGCAAACACTGCAGTATAGAGATAACCTCGCTTCACTGCAAAATAACAAACTGCACACTCAGTATGAAACTTAGTGAGGCTGGCAGCGAGTGTGTTGGACATATGGTGAAGACGAGGAGGGGATGGGATTTCACTGCCAATTATCTGAGAGACCTCTTAACAGACAAACCAGATGCTTATAACTTCATACCTAATGAAAGCTATGGGAAATGCATTGTCCTTCAACCGTCAATCCAAATTCAGTCACAAGACGCACAGAACACAAGTCTGCGCTGTTATACTAGCAATTGAGCTGTCCGTACTTCCTGTTTTTAGTTATGTTAGCCCTCACGATTTCCACATAAAAATTGGGAAGGAAATCATGCTTTTTGCTGTTTATCACCTGTTCGAGCACATCCTATAACAACAATACATCCTTACTCAAGTACTCAAGATGATTTGAACCTCAAGTGTAAAAACTACGGTGGCCCAGTAGTGCACAACACAACGAAATCTCTACAACACTACAAAATTGCCAAAACACAGCAAAATCACCACAACAAAACGCATAGGACTAATTGTGTTGTGTTGTGCTCATTTCATTGGGTTGCGGCTGGTTTCCGTTGCGTTGTGCTAATTTTGTTGTGTTGTGCTTATTTCGCTGTTGTGGCTTGTTTTTGTTGTGTTGTGCTAATTTTGTTGTTGTGGCTTGTTTCCTTTGTGTTGTGCTATTTTTGTTGTGTTGCAGCTTGTTTCTGTTGTGTTGTGCCAATTTCGTTGTGTTGAGGCTTGTTTCTGTTGTGTTGTGCCAATTTAATTGTGTTGCGGCTTGTTTTTGTTGTGTTGTGCCAATTTCGTTGTGTTGCGGCTTGTTTCTGTTGTGTTGTGCCAATTTCGTTGTGTTGCGGCTTGTTTCTGTTGTGTTGTGCCAATTTCGTTGTGTTGCGGCTTGTTTCTGTTGTGTTGTGCCAATTTCGTTGTGTTGCGGCTTGTTTCTGTTGTGTTGTGCCAATTTCGTTGTGTTGCGGCTTGTTTCTGTTGTGTTGTGCCAATTTCGTTGTGTTGCGGCTTGTTTCTGTTGTGTTGTGCCAATTTCGTTGTGTTGCGGCTTGTTTCTGTTGTGTTGTGCCAATTTCGTTGTGTTGCGGCTTGTTTCTGTTGTGTTGTGCTTATTTCTTTGTGTTGTGGCTTGTTTCCGTTGTGTTGTGCTAATTTTGCTGTTGTGGCTTGTTTCCTTTGTGTTGTGCTATTTTTGTTGTGATGCAGCTTGTTTCTGTTGTGTTGTGCTTATTTCTTTGTGTTGTGGCTTGTTTCCGTTGTGTTGTGCTAATTTTGGTGCTGTGGCTTATTTCCGTTGTGTTGTGCTAATTTCGCTGTTGCGGCTTGTTTCTGTTGTGTTGTGCCAATTTCGTTGTTGCGGCTTGTTTTTTTGTGTTGTGCCAATTTCATTGTGTTGCGGCTTTTTTTTTTTGTGTTGTGGCAATTTTG